GGTTGTTTAACCAACAGTGTACCGTTTTCACAGTCGTGAGCGAAAATCTGTAATTCTTAAACACGTCGATGAACTGAACTATGATATGTGCTATGCTATGGTTGCGTGAGATCGGTAGCACTTATATTATCACTTTTAGAATAAAACACTCCCGGTTTGTACATATTGAATTGTTATATTAAATTTTAGTATACATATGTACTTTTCAATATGTACGTGACGCTTCCGGGAATAACGAGCGGCGAGTCCATTCGACTGCATCATACCATCGATAACACGTCCGGTTAGCTCGAAGTCGCAATATGCGACATCACCTACTACCTGTGATGGACCAACATGAACTGCAGACACAACATGCTGTTCGTCAGTAACGCCCGCAACCAAATAACGGACGGCTACTACAGTGTGTGCTCCCTCAGCGAAGAAATCTTCAAACCCGTGGGAGCTGAACTCAAAATGAACGACTTGAACGGCACGGTCATGTTATCAAACAACGGAAAAACGACTTGAGACTCAATAAGCTGTTGGCTAAAATGCCTGTTTTTAAACCACCGTGATCTTGTTCCGTGCATTCATCTCCATCAGCTGAGCATAACCGACAATTTTCAAAGCACAGAACCTTCCACACTGCTGAGAGCTGTTTCCTTGAAACGGAAAATTACAACGACGGCAGAACCAAAAATATCGGTTTTAGACATTAAACACAATCACGTAAGTAATCCGAAAATGCGCCAACATAGCGATCTCCAACCTCGGGGACACGCGCGGATTCGACGAGCCCAGACTGTACGTCTTGCAACTGAAAAACAACATTTACAAACGTGTCAAACTGACGTGCTCCACTGCCAGTGACCTATGCAATTTCGACTATACCGAATGATCAGTCAACAAGACGCAATATGACCTCATATCATGTCAAGAGCCTTTGGCAGCAAGCTGTTCCCCCTGAACGACCTCGAAGCCACGGTCGTCACTCCAACACGCCTTACACTTTCGTATTCAACGACGATGACAAACAACATACTCAAAGTGAACTTGGATTATCCAGCAGAACTACACGAATCGCACAACAGCTATCTGCTAGCTCCCGAACGATTAATGGTGAACAAGGACTGGATGTCTGAATATCAACTAAACTTGCTGAGAAAAAATAAGCCGAAAACTCGAAAAACTCGTTCCAAACTTGATGAACAAGAAAAATACATCGTTCACTACCGTAACGTGCAGCTGTACTTGTCACTGGGATGAAACTCATGAGAATTCACAGGGCGCTCGAGTTCGATCAAAGTCCTTGGATGGAGCCTTACTTCAGAATGAACAAGGATTTACAAAAGCTGGCCACCAGCGATTTCGAGAAAACCTTGTACAAACTCATGAACAACTCGGTGTTTTGCAAGATGATGGATAATTTGAGCAAACGAGTTAGCGTGAAACTAGTCTGATCAAGCGAGGAAGAAAAACTCAGGAAACGGATAGCCAGCCCGGCATTCAACATCAGCAAAATATTAACTGACGATTTGATGGCGCTGCACATGAACAAAAGTCACATCGAATTCAACCGGCCTGTTTACGTGGGGATAAGCATCCTTTACTTATCCCAACACTTGATGTAGGACTTTTACTAAAACAAGTTTAAGAAGTAGTATGGCGACAAGTGTGAAGTGCTGTACACAGACACGGATTCACTGCTGATGGAAATTCGCACAGAGGACGTGCACGAGGACATGAAGAAAAACATGCACCTGTACAACACCAGTGACTACCCGAAAGACCATCCTTTGCACGACACCGTCAACAAAAAAGTGCTCAGCAAGATGAAGGACGAATGCACAGGCAAGCTGATCACCGAGTACATCGGCTTGAGACCCAAGATGTATTCCATCAAGAAAGCAGAAGACAACGAAAACAGAAAGGCGAAAGAAGTAAAAAAACATGTAGTGAAGAAACACATCAAGCACGCCAGATTCAAGGATAAAACGTTAAAACACAAAATGACCATGTTGAGAAGTGATGGACACAGGATATACGGACTGAGAATCAACAAGACATCACTGTCTCCCATGGACACAAAACGATGAATAGCCATTGACGGAGTCACCACTTATGTCTACGAACACATCGACATATTAAGTAATTAAAACACACACAATACATACATAATGGAGACAATTTATTACAGTCCACGCAGGTACTGGATAGGCGAGGACGCTATCCCAAAAGTCGCCAAAGCCACTCAGAATTCTCAGAAGACATCGCCAAAGCTTGGCTTAAAAAACAAGCTATCTGGAAAGTTTCCGGCGCCTCGGTACATCCTGAGAAGAAAATTCGACATTTCAACGTCGTGTGCATCAAGCCGACCTCCTGTTTCTACCTCACAACAGGGTGAGGCATAAAACCTACAAGTACGCCCTGACAATTGTCAATGTTGCCAGTCGCTACAAGGAAGCCAAACCGTTGATGATAAAAGATTCAAACAAAGTCGCCAAAACCTTAGAACGCATATACAAACGCAGTCGCTTGACCTGGCCTGCCGTATTGCAAATTGATTCTGGACGCGAGTTCATGGGAGCAGTTTCGCAGCTGCTGGCCAAGTACAAGAGATGAGGCATGGCAGGAGCTCACAACTGCCATGTCATAGTCGAGAGATTCAATCACACATTAGCCGAACGACTGTTCTCACACCAGTACTCACAGGATTTAATCAATCCCAGAAACAGAAATAAGGAATGGGTCGTATGTTTGCCACGAGTGGTTGCTGCCATCAACAACGAAGTCACCAGACTCGTGGGCAAGAGACCCGTCAAAGCCATCAAAATGAAATCCATCGATGCCGAAGCAGCAGTAGCAAATCGTGATAAAACAAAGAAAAAATTACTGGACCGGGTCAGCGTTAGGTACTCGTACCAGTCGGGTGAATACGAGGGAGACTGCAGAAAACGTGCCACCCATCCCATATGGTCCACTGAAGCGTACAACGTCAACCTGGTCGACATCTAAGACGTTGAACTGAACTTGTACTACTTGAAAGACGGGCCGCCGAGAGCATTCGCCAGAGAGGAGCTGACGATCGTACCTCACAACTTTGTGTATCGATCGCCCACTGTTGGATACTTCTCAGTAACTGACAATTTTGTCAGTTTGTGAAGAAACTATTAGTAGTTGTATGCTATGTGACTGCGAGTGCATGAATCAAGCCCTTTATTAAGTCAGAGTTGAATTTCTCGTGATATCAGCCATCAACTCTAATTTCACAGTGTAAATTCATCATGTTCTCTCACAAACACCCACTGTTAATTTAACATCAGAGCTGTGGTTCTTGTCTGGCCTGCATAACCTCCTGTCACATGGCTAGGGTATTCCGATCACAAAGTTTCAGCTGCTACTTTGATTCGAACGCTGGACCTCAGTATTGAGAACCCAGCTTTGTTACCATCACACCATGGAGGCCACTGATAGTGCTCAGCGAATTAGACCTACTTCTCGATCCGAGCTGTGCACCTGGCGATAAGAGTGAGACGGCCCACCACCATTCAACCACATTTTTACTCCCGCAGGAGCGATGGATATAAGGTACCTGGTCCAAAATTATCATTAAATAACGTTGCCAGACCGCCTGCCAGCCAGCTCAGTGAGCTGAAGGTGAATAGCCGAGCCGAGAGAGACACACTCACACACACACACACACTGCGACTCGCCCACAGCGCTCGCTCAACTCCAGACTAGGAAAGCAATTGTGATCTTTGACCTGTGAACTGTGACCTGTCAACTCGCTCGCTCAACATAGACTTTGTAAATTGAATGCTGAGATCAACGGGAGCCGTGGTGGCTCAGTCAGCAGCGAAGATGCTGGGGTCAACTTGTTTGTCATGCAGCCATGCAACTGTGCGTTTTGTGAGTTCGTATCCCGTTTGGCCTCTATGATTCCCTTGCAAGATTTGAAACTTTCGATAACATTATCCAGAACGGGGCGGCTCTCATCGAGAGACCGCAGCTGGAAGCAATCCCACGATGGAGGAAGCCTTGCGCATAGCATCTATCTACTTCTTTCTCCCTTGTGCGGACAATTTGCTAAAATATTGTTCATGCTCTCAGTCAGACAGACATCGCCTAGCCACTATGAACAAACACGGCAATTTACGTTGAACATTTAGCCTTTTCCCAGACGGACCCCATGCTCACTAAAAAGTGGATATTTCCTAAACTATTCGACAAATTTTCGTGAAATGTTCATGTACATACGCAGTAGTATGCACAATGGGTGGAACGGGATCAGGGCCATTCCCAAGGCATTAATTTGGAAAAATTAAGTCCTTGGGAAGGAACTGAGCCCGTTCTACCATAGTGTATACTACTCCATGAAATTGCAAATGAATTGTTCATGTCAACAAATACAGTAACATATTGTTCAGGACACTAAATAGGATTACATTTTGGGCATTGATAATTCCGACATGGTAATATCCACCTTAACATCTGGGGATCTTTACCAAGGACTTGAATGATGAAATACTTTGTTACATGAGTCGTAAGAAATAGTCTGTAGAGGTCACATGGCATCCATGATGTTGGTACGGATACTCAAGTCTGGATATAGATCATAGATGCATTGAATAGTCTGTCTGAAACAGACTGCGGTTCTTCTGCTTCAATTAGTCCGACTATGCTTTTCCCATGGTCCTTTAATTGGCAGAATGAATCCCCAGTTAGACAGGACACAATATAACAGACTCCGTTTGTGCAGTCGAGAACATCCCATTTTGCCACTATTCATGAGTTTTCACATGCAGAACATGTATTTGAATCTCGGTCTTTTAATCCTCATGTTGTGTTTTCTTTAGCAGTATACATGTTGTCATTGCCGCATTCAAATAACTTGAATAATATATTTGTGCGTGCAATGATCAGTATGTTTCTATTTTTAGGAGTATATCTTTTATTATGTCTGCAAACGTGCAACGTTAAGTATAAATATTAACAGATTCACTTTATGTATTTACTAGCATGCGCCCTTGGGTATTATGGATCCAACTGTGACCATTCCTGTGCTGCTCGTCACTGTAAGGTGGACTCCGTCTGTGATGCAATACAGGGCGAGTGTGTCGGTGGATGTGAGGCTGGATATCAAGGAACAGACTGCAGGCAAGGTACTACTTTATCTTACCACACGTTTTCCCAATAGTAAAGGCTCACTTATATATAAGATTCAACTAACGGTTGATGTTTGTCCTTGTATTTTATTCCAATCACATATACACCTGGCACAGTGTTAAGAGCACCATTAAACAATAAATAATTAAACCTGGCACAGTGTTAAGAGCACCATTAAACAATAAATAATTCAATTTAATAATGATAATAGTTTCCATATTTTGGTTGTTGATACCATCGTTTGGCAATGCTCTATTAATTCTCCAGAATAGTACTGACTGGAGAGCAAAATGCTTTGTTGAATAACGAGTTGGCCTAAATCCCGGTTTTAAGTTAACCTACTATGAAATTTTAGTCCTTCATTTCTTTCCATCTAGTAGTATATACAACAGCGGTATGGACCGCACAGGTGCACCAAGCCTATTAGCTCCAAACTAGCCAATTCGGCTCCAAGAGTCACCCCCCAAAAATAATGTTTTGCACAAACTGTATTTGAGTTTTTGAACCACTTTTTGTTTGCATTGTTTTGTCTTGTGGTTCCCAGTAGTCTATCCAACCCCAAGACAGGTATAAGGAAAACAAAGAACACCAGTATGTCGATGCAAGTGCACTCGAATTAGAGATGCATTAGGTACATAGGTATAGAACACAACAAAATGCCCGAAACCAATATATTGCGCGAAGCCTATGCCGAGATCCGATCGGGTCGTTTGTCCCTTTGGGAAGCAAAGACGAAGTACCACATATCGCAAGCCCAATATACGCGAATCCTAGGTGGTATAGACCCCAAGCCACAGACAATGACAACTTCTGACATGGCCAAAGTCTTCGAGAGCCTACTGGAGAAGTGTTCCCACGTATTGCTTTTGAACTGAGAGAAACAAATCTTGGAGAAATCGGTAAACACCTATGAAGACTGCCAGATGCCTCGCCAGTTTCTGGAACTGTATTTACTGTTCTTGCACCAATTCGTAGAAGACGGCAAAATAGTGGATTTCGTCTACCTCTACCCATCCAACAAATTTCGCCCTGTGTTTGGCAAGCTCCGCATCATTCTCGCGGACGACTACTGTTGCCCGGAACCCAAGGACAGACACCACCGATGCACTGACTACCTGGCCGCTCTATTTGAACACCTCACTCTCTTCAAGCGAGACAAGTCCGGCAAAACGATGCACACCAAGCTGTACAACAAAGTCGTTTGGAACTTTGAAGCCAGAGAAATCAGAGAACCAATTGGATTGTCCAAACGAGCATCGGTGGAAAACCTTTCTCTACCCAGACGTAAAACAAAGAGGTTGCACTTGCATAGAAGTGTCCCTGTACACCTACCAAGACACCGACATGTCCATCAACAGAGCAGGAAACGTTTTGCAAGACGTGTAGGAGCGAGCTTCGCCAGCAGGCGATGGTCTATTCGTAGTACAACCACCAGCAACGCAGTGGCTTTGTCTTGCAGAGAAGATAGACTGCTGTTTGGTCCTAGCTGACTGTCCACAGCAAAGGATCTTCATCATATGGTTCGCACATTCGAAAACGGGTCGCGTGTATGGAGTACACATTCGTCCAACCAACACATAATCCTGGGAAAAAAACATCTACTGGGCCATAGGAGACTTCGGTTTTCGAAGGGTTCCAATATTCTGCCTGGACATCCTATCGGTAGAAGGAGTTACAGTGGAACTAGGCCCACTCCGATGCTATGCCAAAGGCAAGGACACCAAGACGGTGCTAGCTGCCAGCAAGAAGCCAACAGCTCAACATCCATTCGGCATGGATCAAGCCACATCATACATAAAAAAACAAAGTGTACAAACACACCCTGCAAATCGAGATCGAATCCTCCGAAAGATCGTTCTTCGACAAAATCGGCAAAGAGATTCGTTGGAAGAAAATACATGTAGTGGCATCTCCTATGGGAAAGGAGTATCTGGACGAGCGCAGGAAGATAGAGGAAATGGAGAACATGTCAAAATACTTATTTTCAAAATAGGCTGCATTCCACACATGGACTTCTCTGCTAGATATAGTGGGGATACCCGGGGTAGACCTTGGAAACGGGTTTGGGCGTTTTTGTCTTCTTCTCGTCAGCCTGTCTGTCAAATTGTCTGTCGGTCGGTGGCGTGCTGTGTTTCCAGGTCTTGTGGGCAACACGGCAGCTAGCCAAAGGTACGTCCACTTTTGGGCCGATTCTAGCATCTGCCGCACCTTCTGGATATCCAAACGTGTTTCTTCTTGTTCCTCCTCTATTTCCTCCCGGAGTTCTTCCTCCTTCGTTGTCATCCTTGTCCAGCCTAGACAAGATGTCAAGAAACAATTTCGCGTTTTGCTCAGCACAAGCCGACAACATTGTCGTGTGGACTCCAGCAATTTCCTTCCTCGCGTTTGTGTAGTAGAAATGTTGTGATTGGCCGCTATGTTCTGCATTTCTTGGAAAGGTTGGTCGGATCCTTCTCTGTCCAGCTTTTGGCGTTTTTTTCTGTCTCCATTGTAGTTGTCGGGAGAAATATGACTGGATCCATGCCGGATGGATGTAGAGCTGTTGGCTTCCTGCTGGCAGCTAGTACCGTCTTGGTGTCCTTGCCTTTGGCATAGCATCAGAGTGGGCCTAGTTCCACTGTATCTCCTTCAACTGATAGGATGTCCAGGCAGAATATTGGAACCCTTCGAAAACCGAAGTCTTCTTATGGCCAAGTAGATGTTTTTTTCCCAGGATTCTGTGTTGGTTCAGTGAATGTGTACTCCGTACACGCGACTCCTTTTCGAATGTGCATACCATGCAGGGAAGGTCGTTTGCTGTGGATGGTCGGCTAGGACCAAACAGCAGTCTATCTTTTCTGCGAGACAAAGCCACTGCGTTGCTGGTGGTTGTACTACGAATAGACCATCGCCTGCTGGCGAAACCAACTCCAACAGGTCTTGCAAAACGTTTCCTGCTCTGTTGATGGACATGTCGGTGTCTTGGTAGGTGTACAGGGACATTTCTACGCAAGTGGAACCTCGTTGTTGTACGTCTGGGTAGAGAAAGGTTTTCTGGAGATGCTCGTTTGGACAATCCACATAGTCGGCAAGATGGCCACCAATTGGTTCTCAGATTTCTCAGGCTTCGAAGTCGCATCGTTTCTCCGGACTTGTCTCGCTTGAAGAGTGTGGGGAGTTCAAATAGAGCGGCCAGGTAGTCAGTGCATCGGTGGTGTCTGTCTCTGGGTTCTGGGTAACAGTAGTCGGCTGCGAGAATGATGCGGAGTGTGCCCACCACGGCACAAAATTGGTTGGATGGGTAGAGGTAGACGAAATCCACTATTTTGCCGTCTTCTACGAATTGGCGAAAGTACAGTAAATACAGTTCCAGAAACTGGCGAGGCATCTGGTAGCGCACGTAGAAGGTGTGTCCCGATTTCTCCAAGATTTGCTTCTCTCAGTCCAAAAGCAATACGTGGGGACACACTTTCCAGTAGGCTCTCGAAGATTTAAGCCATGTCGGAAGTTGTCATTGTGTGTGGCTCGGGCTCTATATCACCTCGGATTCTGTATATCAGGCTTGCGATATGTGGTACTTTCCGAAGGGACAAACGACCAATCGGATCTCGGCATAGGCTTCGCGCAATAGCTTGGTTTCGGGCATTTTGTTTTGTTCTATACCTATGTACCTAGTGTATCTCTAATCCGAGTGCACTTGCATCGACATACTGGTGTTCTTTGTTTTCCTTATACCTGTCTTGGGGTTGGATAGACTACTGGGAGCCACAAAGACAAAACAATGCAGACAAAAGTGGTTTAAAACTCAAATGCAGTTTTGTGCAAAATATACTACTCCTCTTACTTTATGCTCTTTTCTTTATAATATTCTTGGTGCGAATTGTCAACAATGGCCAGGGAGGTTCTAAGAATAATAATTTATTCCTTGACGATAATTCCGATGTAATCAGAAAAGACACTCTGATGACAATAAATTCACAGATACAAACTCTCACCCTCATTTACTCTGGGTCACCCTCATTTAAAACAAATTGCATGATGCCTACGTAAAATCTCTGCACTGTGACTCTCAACAGAACACTACAGCGCTTTATGGAATACAAAATATTTCTGCATTAACTATAAACTGCTTACACTACAGACAAATAGTTTCACACTCTTAACTCATTAAGCCCGAGACCCATCTCACTACTCAACACCTTGAACCCCTCACTGATTGCCCACTCGCTGTACCGAGACTAATTAGTGCTAATCACACCTGATTTCCCGACAGGTTTCGGGGATCACAGGAAACTGTCTAGTGGTACAAACAAGTCCTGATTGTTTGATTGTGTCGTAAACATATATGTTGAGAAAAAGCAGGTGTGAATACATATCGTGTATTGCAAAGTTTTATATAATTTTATTGCAAGTTTCTGTTGTAGACCTTTGGCGGCTTGTACATTTATATTTTATCACAATATGAATGTATTCTTTGTATGTAAGAGATGAGACACACATAAACAAATTCTTTGCAGTTGCAGTTGTCCGTATAGCATAATAGTCGCAAAAGAAGGCTAAAAAGGCTGTAAGCATGTAACAAACAATCCAGACAACAGGCACTAAAGAATCAAGTAACAGTCCAGAGGATTCTCTTCAGTCTAAATGTTTGCTGCAGTCAGTCTACACTTTGTACAATGTTGTGCAACATATGAAGTAAAATGGATATGGTTGGAATAGGTCTAAGATACCAGAATATCACAGAGGCGTGTATGGCACCAGCTGTAACTGTAGAGTTGAGATGTTGAGATGAATCTTGTCTGCCATGTGATATTCCACACAGAGTGTCCCAGGAGAAAGTATGGAATCAACTGTACTTGCAGTGTTGATATGTCGATATGAATCTTGTCTGCCATGTGATATTCCACACAGAGTGTCCCAGGAGAAAGTATGGCATCAACTGTACTTGCAGTGTTGATATGTCGATATGAATCTTATTTGCTATGTGATATTCCACACAGAGTGTCCCAGGGGAAAGTATGGCATCAGCTGTAACTCTGACTGTGGCCACTGTGCTGATAGCATCACATGTCATCACATCACTGGAACCTGTCCAGGTGGATGTAAGGCAGGGTGGAAACTTCCCCTGTGTAAGACAGGTGAGTGTGGACAATCTATAATTCATGTGTTCTGAAGTGTACTGAGAGAGCAATAGAGTTCCTCACAATCTATTCACACTTTGGGATAAGCCATAACTGCCAGTCGGACGCATTCCTCTGCCGTCCATTCACTTCTAGCGGATCATTTATTTGGTACATATGAATCAGAAGTCCCAACAAGGTGACTTGGCCACGTGAGTTTTGTTTTACGCCGCTTTTAGCAATATTCCAGCAATATCACCAGAAACTGGCTTCACACATTGTACTCATGTGGGCAATCCTAATCTGTGTTTTCAGAGTGACCAGTGAAAGCGTTAACCACTAATTTACCCCACCGCCCATTATTTGGCCAAGATGATCACTTTATACACCAATTATGTCCATGACCTGACATGAGTTGGAGCCATACAGATTAATATCCTTTACCTTTAGCCGGCTGAATTAATTTCAGCACAAGGCTCTGTAACCAGGGTGGGTGATTTCAAACAGGTTGGGCGTTATTTATAAGGAACACCTGGAGCAACAATTTGCCCATAAACACCAGATAGAAAACTTAACATTTTATAAAAAACATATCCTGATATTTTCAAACATTCAGAGGTTACGACCATGTGCATTCACCTGTTTATATTGTAGTCTTGATCGCTACGCTAAACAGATTTTGACTCTCCTATACAGTATACTACTTCTCTTCCTTTGAAGCCATAATCACTCCTGTAACAGCTGCTATGATCGGCGTGGCTGGTGGAATATGCTTCACGGTGGTTCTTGCAGTTGTGCTGTTCGTGGGGCTTGTAAAACTATGGAGGTAAGTGAACCTTGAACCTTATCAGGATATTTTATATTTTTGATCATGAACACAGTTGTTTCTGCAAATCATCTGCAACAGACAAATCACCTTATGAAGTATACTTCGCAGGTTCAAGTGGTAAAAGTCAGGGCCACGTCAACCAAGTGGACAGGAACTCTACACAGCCGTCAGACCACTACACATCCATATCCGAGCAGGCTAGTGGCCGCAACATCTACAACAACGACTATTCTACACTAGACGTTGAGGCCAAGTCTAACAATGACTATGACTTCATTAAGAACAAGGCTTATGAAAATATGTACAGAGTATATTACAGTAATATAATAGCTTACATGTAAAAAAAAGGAAATGCGTCGACCGCATCCATAAAGATATTGAAGTTGTTATCCCAATAGGTAGGAAACTGTTCACGATGTTTGTGATGCATTTATTGCAGATTTTACGTTTTTTGTGGGTACCGAGATAAAAAGTAAAACAAATTGGGGATCATTGGACTGGAACATAGCAAAACCAATCTGCTTGAGGTTTAAACAGATAATATGTAGAAAACAAACCCATAAAAAAGCTGCCTTTTTATCATTCTCTTGGTCAGGCCGACTACTTTTTGAACGACCCACGTATGTCCTTGGAGAGCTGGGACACTATTTTATAACTCTGTCAAACGTGATCGGATCTACATGTTTATTGTGTTAACATGTTCCAGGTCAAGTCAGAAGAACAGTTTCCATATTTTAACGATGTTTGGTAAATTATTGTCATAACTTGGAGAGAGTGATGATTTATAACTCAGTCTGAATTTTGTAGTTTGTATTCATTGTGAACTTTTCACATCGTTATTGAGAAGCTGACTGTTTATTATAAGGAATGTTTATAACAGTTTGTTTCAGGTAATACTGAAAACGTATAATTTGGCTTTCGGTTTTACCCAGACACATTTCTTTCCTCGATTTCCTTACAGAACATGGCATGGCCCCTCAAGAATGTATGGTTCCTCTCAGAACCACGATTGCCTTGATAATGACATGTTTTCTACCTAAGGCAGAAATGGTTCCGGTTAAGACGTATTGCTGTGTTGGGTGTATTTGAAGCCACAGTTGTTTATCCCACATGCACGTATTAATCGCAATATCTTTATTATCTATGTTGCATATTTGTCAAACATCGATTTCCGGACAATAACAATATATAACAAAGGGAATGTATGTATTGATCAGTGTAAGCTTGAACTTTTCACAGTTTGTATGTAACGTGCATTTTGTGTGCTGCTTGTGCGCTGTAAGAAAAGTTAAGGTGTTTTGTCCCTTTATTGAACACAAACCTGAGCATTAGAAACAATAGATGTAACTACATTCAATTATACCCATAAAGAAACAAACACACACACACACACAAATGCACACATGTGACGTTGAGGGAACATCGCCCTGTGACTTTCACGGGAACACATTGACGTCAGTATATACAGAATGATGCACATATGAATTTTCCTGTTATCTGCACGATGAGATGGGAGTTTCTCACAATAAACTGTGAACATATCAACGCTATCCTCTGGCCCCGAGGCAACTCTTCATCAATTATATTTATTCAGTGTTGCAAAATATAAACAATTATTCAAGCAAAAGCGTAGTTCACTTAAAACCCATTTTGCAACGTATTGCAGCATTTATATTATTTTTTTTGTAATCCAATATTACAAGTGAATACCCTTTTCGCGTAATATTTAGTAAATGTTCCTTTTGCACGAACATAAATGGTGTACATGTTTTAAATTAACGTGAAATAGTGTTAAAAGTTTAAACCTTTGTACGCATAATGCAATAAACAAAAAGTTTTATCCATTAAGTTGTATTATATATTCATTGTAGACTGGCTCACTTACGATCAATTTGTTCAAATTGCAAATCGACTCTGCTGTTATCAGAGATTTTTACGAAAGTGCAAAGGGTTTGTCGTTTGTATTTTCCAAGATTAACATCTGCTGGATTTGTGCTCATAATGCAATTATATGTTACTGTCTGTACGAAGGCAATACGAAGTGTAATGACATATTACACTGGAATTGTGTCCTTTAACGACTTCATCTATCTCCAAGCATTAAGATTGCAGTAACTAAACAACGGCAGTGGTGTCTTGAATATCGTTCCCTATTCTGTCTCAATGAACTTATTTAAAGGTACCCCTGCTAAAACCCATGTAGATAAGGAATGTTCTTAGCTGTTACGAGGCTCACACTGGCCACCCAAAACACAACACTGGCCAATACTGCCGTACATACACCTTCTCCTGTTAATGTTAGTTAATGTTATTGGGCAAAAGAGAGTGCCTTTTTATACTTTTCAACTACAACATGTTTACCACTGGATACAAAACTATCTCTTTACCTAAACGTCTAAAAACACCACGAATGTTTTGTTAACATCTGATTGTAGCAAAATATTTTAAGTAAATATGTGTGAGAGTCACGCGCAAATGGAGCGCTGGTGAATAGACGCTGTGGACTATTCTTATTCACCAACTGATTATTTGCATGTACTGTTTCAACACTTCCACATCCTCCATTCCCATTGTTGAACAGTACACACAGTGTCAGGGGCATTTATCATTATTGTTTGCAATGTACATAATACTTATTGGGTTTAGTAATTGAGACAACTTCGGCAGTATCCAAATCTTCTTTCGCAGGGCTAAATAACTGAATTTATACAAGCCAGGTCACATATTGTACACATTGTATAGCCTTATGTCGAGATACCTTTGAACCTGTTGTGCTATCGTGTGGTGTTTGGTGAGCTTAAAAGGCCAAGAGAAAAAGAGATAGTTTTATATTATGTGCTAAGCATGGTTTAAAGAAAAGGGAATGAAAGTTGTCCAATAACATTCACTGGTGGTGGTTCACAAAAAGATACAGGACCATAATCTTCTTCCTGGTCTGTGTGGCAGTGTGTCACAATGGCAGTGTTGGCTGGCCAGTCAGAGCCTCGCGACAGGTAAGAACATTCTTTATCTACATGGGTGTCAGCAGGTGTGCGTGTAAGCAATCGTTGAGACAGTGTAGGTAACTGAAGATCAGACATCATTGCTGTTGTCTAATTGATACCTGACGATCACCTTGTAACATATACAATCAGCTGCTTGGAGATAGGCGAAGTCGTGGGTATCTCTATGGGTGGCAGCAGGTGTGCCTTTAAGTAATGGTTGAGACAGTATAGGTAACTGAAGATCAGATCCAGTGGACTGATGAACTGTCTTCAGATATGTTTATTCGTACAAGAAACACTATTTTCAATACTTTTGTTTGGTCTCCTTTTCTCTGGTTTCCTTTTTCTTTGTTTGTTTGTTTGTTTTAACGCCGCTCTCAGCAATGAGCATCGATCTAAACAAATGGCATAAGATGACATGCATCAACCAAATCTGATAACAAAAATAATGTGCAAATGCTCTATAGCCTCCAGATGATTAAATGTCATTACACATCACTTTCGTTTGCACGAGTGCTTGCTAAATGACGGAATGAAGGTTAAAGAACGATTAAACTTTTGTTTGTTGTACTCTTCTAACCATTACCTATGAAGGACGTTTGGTTAGTCTTAAGCAGAACACTAAATTTGTTCTGAAAACAACTTCTGGTTAATTAATACCGAGCGATTAAAAGTTGCCAAGAAGTCGCCTGTTTCTCTCGCCAGAGAACTGCAGCGAACCGGCAGTGACGTTATGTGAGGGAGGATTTTCTGTTAGTTGTATAAAAAATGTGTAACAAGCTCGTCATTTTGATGATTTCTCGACGTCACCTAAGACATGCCGAATCGTTGCGTTGCCGTCAATTGCTCCCAGGGGTTGGGTGATGGTGTCACCATACACAGATTTCCACCGAACCCTGCAGTTCGTGCTAAATGGTTTATGTTTGTGAGTACGACGTGAGCGTTGTGGAAGCCTCGAACGTATCTTACCTGTGTTCTGATCACTTCATGAAAGTTAAAAAATCAAAACTACATACTAGTTGTAGTTAATATGTATATGATTGATGACCAAAAGGATTTTGCATGACACAACTTGTAACATAACGATTTCATCCTCGGAAGCGAGGTTGTGGTCGAAGTGGCAATAATATTGTCAGTAGTATTATATCGACACCCACGTCACTTCCAAGCGAGACATTGTTATGTTATAAGCTATGTCTTGCAAACTCCTATTGGCCATCAATCAAATACATATTTTACTACCAGTAGAAAGTAGAATTGATTTTGTAACTCAGTGAAAACAAACCTAAATTGCATTTACTCTCAGGCCGGATGTTCGCCATAGGGCGCCGCCATGTTTTTAGAAATCGTGATGTCACGGGCTAAAGTCTGTTCGAGAATAAATGAGATTACGCTTTGTTTTCATCAAGTTAGAAAATCAAAATTACTTTCTACTCGTAGTTAAATATGTATTTGAATCATGACCAAAAGGATTTGGCATGACACAACTTGTAACATATCGATTTCTTCCAGGAAGCGAGGTGGGGATCGAAGTGACAATATTGCGCGATGAATTTCTTGCTAAATTCACGTAGTAGATACTAGAGTCGAGGTAAAGTCGAGGAATGTGGCATTAATGTGACTAAGCATTCGGGTGACTATCGATATAGATCACAGACATCGATAATCGTTAACAAATATCGATCGATTATCGATAAATATCGGTGAAGTAAATTTGAGCAAAATGCCAGAACCCTTTTGAAAGCTATGAATATATTTCACATCACTAATGAGTTACGATATGTTATGTATGGATTTTCAACACAACAACGTCCTGGACATAATTTAGAAGCAGAACATGAATTAAGTCCTAAATCTGTATAAATATTTTCCCTATCAACGATATTACCGATTATCGTTCATTTTAGACAGCATTACTAAACATAAAACAACTTGAATACTGCCACAGGCAGGGGCAAGGTGTGAAGTCCGGGATTGTGCCAGCTGTTGTGCTACTTCCCCGTTCACCCACATGCTGTACTTAAAGCCAACTGACAATGTTACGTATTTGTTGAAGCTGAGACATAATGATACTGAATAATTAATGTGTTATAAACACGGGTTCAGGAATGTATCAATAGCATGTATTCGTATTAAGTAGATTCCAAATATGCAATTTTTTTACCTATTTAAAGAGTTGTATGGTCACATGTGCTAATTTTATTGTTCTGTCAGAACTTTCATACCCGTGAAGGTCCGGGTTAGATATTGATCTTCAGCAACCCATGTTCGTGAGAGGCGACTAATGGGATCGGGTGGTCAGGATCGCTGACTTGGTTATACGTGTCATCGTATCTCAATTACGTAGATCGATGCTCATGATGTTGATCACTGGATTGTCTGGTCCTGACACAATTACTTACAGACCGCCGCCATATAGCTGGGATATTTCTGGGTGCGGCGTTAAACAACCAACCAACCAATCAACCAACCAATCAAACCTTACAACCCGGGCGTAGTGATGTGTTCAGTTCAACGGGATGTTGTTACAAATGTCTGATTGCAACATCAGCGCTTCCAATGTTCCCTTGGTAGACTTTGGGGTCTTTCTTCTATCAAACTGTTTCATGCACTACAACTCAAAGGGAATGGCAAAAGCAAATGCATCGTGTTCAAGTGTTCAAGTTTCAACCCTCCGGACACTATTTAAACCAAACGTTTAAATCAACATCCTGAACGTCTATCTTGACCTTTTATGAACGTTTCCCCTTTTCAGAAAGACAATGGACTTTGGGAACGGTGCAGGGCTTGTCTTCTTCAGCCATTTTGTTCCACAAATGTAGCGATTTGAGGTTTTGTTAGTATCTGTTCATTTCTTACTGACATATAAAGGATATATATCTTAGATTTCTGGAATGGTTATTTGTTCGACATGTATTTGATGTCCATGTTAATAACATATCTGTCGCTTATGTCACCATGACCTCACACCAACATGTTTGCTTTTTACATGTTTTGTGCGATATCGACAAAAGCGCTTTTCATCAATGCAAGTATGTTTATGCAGGATGCAGAGTACGATACGACTGGGTTTATAATGTGCAGGTCCCGCAGCCTCTGCCTGTTAATAATATTGTACGAGAGCTTTACTCAACCCCAGCTGGGGGAAGAGCTTAGTGATATTTGGTGGCGAGTTTTTCTATGCGTGTATACTGTAAACGTATTGTGTTAGCACTCGGGTAAATTGCGGATTTGTATAAAAAATTATACATATGGGTTAAAAGAAGTCATGAATTTCTTTTCTACTGGGAACCCATGGGGCTGGTAGAACAAACGTCCATGGAAATATTTCAAGATGAACTATCAGATTGTAATTCATTATGACCGTCAGCATCACCATTATCATCGTCGTTGCTAACATCATCATCGTCGTCGTCGTCGTCGTCGTCGTCATCGTCATCATCATCATCATCATCATCATCATCATCATCATCATCATCATCATCATCATCATCATCGCCGTAGCTAACATCATCATCATCGTCATCACCGTCGTCATCGTCATCATCATCATCATCGTCGTCGTCGTCGTCGTCGTCATCATCATCATCATCATCATCATCACCACCACCACCAGCATCATCATCACTATCACTGTCACCACCGTAGCCACGGCCAGAAGTATCCTTACAGCGAAGACATATGAGTGTCGCTTCCATTTCAGAGGACGGAAGGAAAATGAGCACAAGCTGCATCGCGTTTCAACATCCTTATTATGACGCTCACCTTAGACATGTACGTTTACGTGAAACCATTGAGAATAGTTTTATTGTTCAACCGAACCAAGGATCTGAGATGGCTGGTCAATCTAAGGGACACAAC